AGAGAGAGAGAGAGAGAGAGAGAGAGAGAGAGAAGAGGTGGCGGACGATTCATATATAACCGGTTCTTACCACAAGCATTCTCGCACACGCTAATACGCGCTCCGTAAGTTGAGATATACGTAACAATGACAATCTCCTTATTTTGCACATCAATCCATTTCAACTTTGTTTTTTGCGGAGAAATATCAATAAATAAAATTAAAAAATTTATATTATTTTATATTATTAATGTAATAAAATTTTGTAAAAAAATGAATTTAGCAAATATACATAAGAAATTGTTTTGTACTTTTTGATTTTGTTAGTCATCCTTGTTGGTTTGATATCATTGAACAACAATATATTTTACCTACATAACGTACTGTACATGTTAGGCATTGTGCCGTTTCTTATTTTACTGTTTTTTTATTTATATGTAACTTCGTCGGCATCTACGCATTTATACATGTGTTTACCGCGCAATGCATCCGCTTTTTGTGCGTGCATTACGAGCGCATCTCCGCACAAGCCGTGATGTAGAGCTTTATACGCATATTTATTTTCTCGCTTTTTTTACATCTGCTCTTATATTGATACATACAATGTACATACGTTCTCATGTGTTTAACGTTTACTCGAATTGCCAGCACGTCTACTGCATATTCGCGATATAAAGCGCGTAGATATTTTGTTGTTTTGCTAGTTCATATTTCCGTGGTATCTCACGTGTTTTGTCTCAAAAACACGTTGAATCTCACGCGTTGGATCGAGTATACCTAGTCAGTCACAGATGATATAAGTCATAAATCATATCCATTTACTTTTTCACATATCTAAAATATATTCGGTAATTGTTTAGGAAGTGGATCACCTCACCAATTTCATTGATCTTGAGATATATTGTTAACTTTTAGATCGGCGGGATGTTAAAATCCATAATCATGGATAGTTTTTTCATAAAGCCATATAATAATCCATATATATATGTCTACTATATATTATTCAATATATACGAGTCATCACACATGACGCCATATTTCGTCATACTGGAGACGTACGAGCAGAAAATAAAAAATTTTTTTAATTCACAAAATGAAAGTTTTTGGGAGTTTTGGATGATTATGTTTTGGTTAAAATCACGAAAATTTGTATATATGTCCATATACATGTATATATTATATATATGTATATTATATATTATATATATACATGTATATATATGTATATGTACAAAATGTATATGTAAAAATATTGTATATGTACATATATAAGTACATGTACATATACAATATTTTTTTAATTTTTACACTATTATATACCGATATATATATATATTTTACCAGTTTGGGATATTTGGCAATTTTACCGTGTGGGATATATGCCCTGTACTGTAACGCTTATGTCTGCGCGGGCATGCGCAATACAGAATACTCCAGTAATTTCGAACACTACAATTTCGGAGCTATTCGGAACTATATCCCAATTTCGACTTCTTCTTGATGGGCTAGACAGGCCAATAGTTTCCCCCACT